CTCCCTCCGCCTGGCGTTCGGGGGCACGCGTCGAGCCTCCGGCGGCCGTTTTCGGGGCTGATTTGTCAGGAGGGAAGAAAACACACAGACACAATTAATCGTCGAGTCCCAGGAAAAGATGGGAAAATATTGGAATTGGGCGGGAAGACAAAAACTCTGAAAATATGGGAAAATATGGTGAATCATTTTATTTGTGTGTATTTATTTGTGTGTCCTGGGGCCCCTTCAATTTGGTCCGGGAGGAGGGGAGGCAATTCGTTCGGGCCGGGAGGAGGGGGGGCACAGGGGGAGGCCCAGAACTGCTGCACCTTGCGCTTCATCGCAGCGCCATAGGCTGCGTCAGAACTTGCGCTTGCGCGCGCGAAGCGCGCGGTCGTGGTTGTGGTTGTGGGCGCTTTGTCAATCCATGGTTTTGCCGATCGGCGCCGGCCCTCGCGCCCCCCCCTCTCCCCCCCGTGGAGCAGATCTTGGCTGTTGTTGGCGCCTGTTTCGCGCAGGTGGGGTCCCTCCCCCATCGGCCGCACTGCTGCAAGCCGTCGCACCAAGCAGAGGTCCTGAGCCAGACCCCCCCTTCCCAACTCCCTTTCCGCCCGATGTCGAAACGCCGAATAAAAGAACGCTCACGTTCTAGTTCAACATCGTCCACCGTCAATTCACCATTATTCATGCACCGTCTTGCTTGCATCATCCTTGAATTGCCACCCGCCACAAATTTCGAATCGCTTGTCACGTACTCGTCAAACGCTGCCCTGCAATCATGCAGTTTCAGTGCCGCCATGCACTTCGCGTCGTTGTTCATTCGTCATGCAACTGGCATCTCCCATTCATCCAGCATCCACACCCGTCATGCACCACTCGCTGCTGATCCCCCCTCTGTTAAGATACATTCATCATTTATCCATCATCCCCCCCAGTGTTCATGTTGTTGTTCTTCGTTGTGCACCAGCCATTCCAGATTCCTCACCATCCTGGATCGAGTGCCCATCGCCCAGCAGACACGATTGCCAGTGCACGGTTCACCCATCCAGAAGTCGGTGCCCACATGCTGGCACCCATCAGCCATCGTTCAGCATTTGCCATTCATCGTTCGCTACTAGTGTCCGTTATTCACCGTTAGTTATACCCCACGGGTCCTAGACGATTAATCTACGACTGTCATGTTTCTTCACGGTCCAGCATACATCAGCTATCCATTCACCCACTCGTCCATCGTTGCCATTCATCGGCGCCATCCATCAGTCATCGTCCAACATCGTTCACGTATCATTCGTCTTTTCGTTCAGCACTGTCCATCTCTCTTCGTGCACCTGGTCGCCGTGCACCCCAGATGTTCAAACAGTACGTACGCGTGGTTCACTACGCGCCATTGACCTTGTACCATCTGTCACTCATCATCTATGATGCACCGTTGGTCGTTCATCACTCATCACGAGCATTTGCTTTTCATTTGCGTTTCCCAAAGACGCCCTCTATGATTCAGCATCCTACCACCACTCATCGTCATTCATTCAGGATGGGTCCCAAATAGATGCGAACCCTCTCGTCCGAGCATTCCGGGCTCATCGACCACGTTGCCACATTCTTGGATTTGTGATTTTTGTCCAACGTTCCTGAGAAAATTCGTGGACCCCTCGACATGGTTCCCAGGCATGATGAACCCTGGTTCGTTTCCCAAGGAGTGCTGGACCCTCTTCCATTATTCCGTGGAAGGAGCGTCCATATCTTTCGGGAACATGAGGCCTTGTCACTGGTCTCCATTATTCCTTGGGAATAACGAACCCCTGTTCATGATTCCGAACATAAAACGCACCCCTTCCCATTATTCCTTGTGAGTAATAAGCTCCTGTCCATGATTCTCCAGAAGTGATGGAACCCTCACTTATTCCCCGGTAGTGTTGGACAGGAGTTCATTACTTCCAGGGAACAATGGACGGGGGCTCGTTACTTCTGGGGAATATGGGACTCTCGTCGATTATTCTGTGGGAGTAATGAGCCTTGGTTTGTATCCCCATGGAGCAGTGGATCAAAGGACCCTTGTTCACCATTCCCCGGGAACAACGAACCCCTGTCCGCAAATCCATGGAAATAAGGAAACCTTGTCAATTATTCCCCAGGGATCACGAACCCTTGTCCGCTTGTACCAGGGAGTACCGGCATGGTCCGTTATTCTCAAGGAGTGATGAATTATTTTCCGTTGCTCCCCAGTAGTGTCGGGTGTTTTGTCTATTATTCCCGGGGGGTGACGAAACTCTGTCTGTGATTTCTAGGAAAAACCGCATGCGGGAATACTGAGCCCTCTTCCACCTTTGTCCATAATTCCTGGGGGTCAACGATCCCCTGTCCATTATTCTTAAGGAGTGATGGGCCCGTTTCCATTAGTCTCTGGGAATAGCGAGCCCTTGTCCGTTACGCGACGGGAATATTGAACCCAGGTCCAACTTCCCCAGGAAGTACGAGCCCCTGTCCGTTATATAGTTGGGAACAACGAGCATTTGCCCTCCTATTCCCAAAGAACAAGGAGCCCATTTTCTCTATCCCCCGAGACTTACGAACCCCTGTCCGTTTGTTCCCCAGGAAAAGCCAAAACCAATCCGTTACTAAAGAGTAGCAAACCTTTGTTCGCTATTCGGGAATAGTCAGAGTGAGGGGGCTGCACCGACCGGTTATTCACTGTCCCTGGGTGCGTGGCTGCAGTGGAATTCCGCGATGCGGATTCTTGTTGTTGTTGTTGTCGTCGTCCCACCCGCGACCCGCCCCGCGACCCGCCCGCGACCCACCCGACGACCCACCCGCGACCCACCCGCGACACACCCCGCGACCCACCCGCGACCCACCCCCCGACCCACTCGCGACCCACCCGCGACGCATCCGCGACCCACCCCGCGACCCGCCCGCGACCCACCCCGAGACCTCCCCCCGGCGACCCATCCGCGACCCACCGGCGACCCACCCCGCGACCCACCCGCGACCCACCCCGCGACCCACCCGCGACCCACCCGCGACCCACCCGCGACCCACCCGCGACCCACCCGCGACCCACCCCGCGACCCACCCAAAATTTTCGGCGCCTGCGGCGGGTTTCTTTTGCATTCGTTCCAGGTGGAGAACCTGCGACCCACCCGCGACCCAGACCGCGCCCGCGACCCACCCGCGACCCACCGCGACCCACCCGCGACCCACCCGCGACCCACCCCGCGACCCACCCAAAATTTTCGGCGCCTGCGGCGGGTTTCTTTTGCACTCGCTCCAGGTGGAGAACCTGCTACCCAGACCGCGTTCAGTGTACAAATCAGAATTTTCGGCGCCTGCGGCGGGCTGTTTTTGAATCCTTTCCAGGTGGAGGTGGAGAGCCCGCGACCCACCCGCGACCCAAACTACGTTCATTGAACAAGCCCGCGACCCACACCCCCGGCGCGCGCGCGCGCTCTGCGGAGGAGGGGAGGAGGAGCAGGGCGAGGAGCAGGAGGAGGAAGACGACGACGACGATGACGACGACGACGACGACGAGTACGAGGACGAAGAGGAGGCCGACGACGAGGACAAGGAGGAAAAGGAGGGGGGGACGGAGGGGGACGACGAGAAAGGAGGGAAGAGGAGGAGGAGGAAGAGGAGGAGGAGGACGACGACGACGACGGAAAGGAGGAAGGGAGGGAGGATCGGGATGGGGGAGGGAGAGGAGGAGGAGGAGGAGGAGGAGGAGGAGGAGGAGGAAAAGGAGGAAGAGGAGGAGGAGGTGGAGGAGGAGGCGGACGACGACGACGACGATGAGGACGATGACGCAGACGAGGAAGAGGAGGAGGAGGAAAAGGAGGAAGAGGAGGAGGAGGAGGAGGAGGAGGGCGCCATCGATAGGGAAGGTGAGGGCCGCCTCCTCGACGCCCGCGTCGCCCGCGCCCGCCCCCTCACTCTTATCCGCAATTGCGGGGTGCTACGTACTGATTATGTCCTCCCCCTCCTGGTCGGTGGGCCCTGAGCCGAGAGTCAAAACCGAGTCATTTGTCAATAATCACGAACCCTTATCTTTTATTCTTGAACAATGACCCCCACATCCAGTGAGTGCATCAACACAACACTGCATTCGGATTCATCATGAAACGCAACCAAGTGCAATTGACTGTTCCAGAGCAGTATATATGATTTGAACTTGGGTTTCGAACAACACCGATAAACGATTCCAGAATTTCGAACCCCTGTTCATAGTTATCCCCCCGTCCAGCGAGTGCACCAAACTTAGTACTGCATTCGGATTCGTCATTCAGACGTAAACAGCTGCAGTTGTTCATGTCAGAAATAATGATACGAGTCTAAAATGATGTCCGACCCATCATTCATGCATCATCAAGTTTCTGTCGCTCGCACCTAGCTCCTTTCACGCCATCCACGGTTCGCCATACATCATTGTCATGTTCTTGATCCTGCTCATCCTCATTATTTTCCTCGGTAAGGCGAATTTCGGCTTCGAACAACACGTGTTGTATGTTTGTCAGAGGCAAGGTGCACATGCATTACCAGCTAAGCTGGTCGAACCGATTGACCCCGAACGTTTCCTGTGACAGACGAGTGGTGTGGAACCTTGAAGGTACACTTCGACTTCTTCCAGCTGAACTTGTCGACTTGTTCTTTTTGCCATTCCCTGAATAACAGCACCAGGGGCGTCGGATCATCATCTTCATCATCTTCATCATCATCAGAATCATCATCATCATCATCATCATCAGCATCATCATCATCATCATCATCATCATCATCATCAACATCAACATCAACATCAACATCAACATCATCATCATCATCAGCAGCATCAGCAGCAGCATCATCACCACCACACTCATCATCAGAATCAGCATCACAGTCGTCACCATCATCATGATGATCATCATCATCATCATCACCATCACCACCACCGGCATCATCATTGTGCTTCTCCTCGTCTTCCCATCGTGCCATGCCCGGGCTTCCTCACCCTCTATTCCTCACTTCCCCCCCTCGCTGGGGCCGAGGTGATTTCTGCTGTGGCTCAAGAGGAGAAGGAGCAGCTGATCACTGACAAGGCCTGCCGTTCATTTGACTCCTGCTTGCCGCGACGGAGAGAGGGGCACATTCAGGAGCGAGGGTGATGGGAGGATATGGGCTAGAATGGGGAGGAGAGGAGGGGGATGGGAGACGTGGAACATGAGGAGGAATTGATGCGGCTGTAGTAGGAGGAGGAGGACGACGAATGACGAGGAGGAGGAGGAGGAGGAGGAGTAGAAAGAGGAGGAGGGGGAGTAGAAAGAGGAGGAGGAAGAGGAGGAAGAGGGAGGGAGGAGGAGGAGGAGGAGGAGGAGGAGGAGGAGGAGGAGGAGGAGGAGAGAGGGAGGAGGAGGGTGTGGAAGAGGCGGCAGGGCGGATAGGTGGCAGCAAGGGAACACGCGTAAGGGCTGGCAACACGTACTCGCTTGGTGATGTGCGGACGTTTGGCAATGAGGCGTGACTGTCGGAGTCTTCCTCGATCTGTTCTTGATCTTCGGCTCCTGCAGGGTGCTCTGCACACCCGACCCGCAGGGCCCAGCGGGCCCTCGCGGCTGGGTGGCATGGTGCGGTGGATGACGACGAGGAGCTGACACGAGATGTGCACAACGACGATGCCAGGAGGGCTGATGATGATGACGAAGACGATGCTGATGATGATGACGCTGATGGGTGATGGTAATACTAATACCGATGATTATGATGATGAGGAGGAGGATGAGGATGAGGATGATGATGATGATGATGATGATGATGATGATGATGATGATGCTGTCGTTGTTGATGATGGTGATGATGATAATGATGGTGAGGATGGCGCTGCCTATCATGATGCTGTTTACGATGACAATGCTGATTATGATGATGCTGCTGATGGTGATGCTGCGTATGATGAGGATGATGGTAATGCTGATGAGGATTGTGTTTACGATTCCGATGCCGACGGCGATGTTGATGAATATGATGATGGTGATGATGATGATGATGCTGATACTGATGATGCATTGATGGATGTGAGGCTGACGGTGACGCCGCTGATGATGCTGCTGATGACGATGATGATGAGGATGCTGATGATGATTATGATGATGATGATGTTGAAGAAGAAGAATATGATGATGCTGATGCGGATGATGATGATGATGATGATGATGAGGATGAGGATGATGATGATGCTGATGCTGATGCTGATGCTGATGCTGATGCTGCTGATGATGTGAATGCTGATGCTGATGATGTTGATGCTGATGCTGATGCTGATGATGCTGATGATGATGATGATAGTGATGAGGATGACGACGCCGATGATGATGCTGTTGCTGCTAATGCTGGTGTTGATGCTCATGCGGCTGTTGCTGCTGATGATGATGCTGATCATGATGATGATGCTGATGATGATGATGATGATGATGATGATGATGGTGATGCTGCTGATGCCGTCGATGCTGATTATGCTGATGATGCTGCTGACGATGATTCTTATGGTTACGACGTTTACGATGAATACGATGAATACGATGAAGAGGAGCAGGCGGATGGAACAGAGAAGGCCGGAGTGGAGTCGGAGGGGTGTGTATGTTCGCGTTGCGGGACAGAATGGTCTTGCGTGGAGCGTGGGAATCGCCCTGTCTTGGCTTATAGCACGCCCGTTCTGCTTTCAAATCAGCTTCGAGCTGCTGTTGAATCCTCGCCTAGCACGCGAAGTGTGTCTTCGCGAGTGTTCTTCGATTATTCTATTCGGTGTGCTTGCCGCTGCAACTAATACTGCATACCAAATCGATCAGGCTTTGATCCAGGGGGAGTCGTTGGCCCCAGATGCGGATTGACCGTGTTTTCCTGTGCGCTGTAGAGGGGCGGCGTTCCGTCTTCGAGCCGCAGTTGTCTAGCAAGACCGAGCGAGGTGCACGAAAAGTTCAGGGACATCGTCAAGCAGATTGACCAGGACAACGACAACATGCTGTCCTGGAGTCCCCGCCGTGCCACCCCCTCTCCCCCTTTCTCCTGCCCCCTTCACATCTCCCTCCTCCCTCGCACGCCTCCTTCCATCAGCATCGTCATCATCATCATCATCATCATCATCATCATCATCATCATCATCACCATCACCATCACCATCATCAGCATCATCATCACCAGCACCATCATCATCGTCAGCATCATCATCATCCTCATCATCCTCATCATCATTATCAGCATCACCATCATCGTCATTAGCACCAGCATCATCATCATCATCATCATCGTCATCAGCATCGTCCTCATCGTCACCCTCATCCTCATCAGCAGCATCATCAGCTTCATCAGCAGCATCCTCAGCATTGGCATCATCATCATGGTCGTCGTCGTCGTCATCATCATCACCGTGTCATCATGATCCTCATTCCCGTTCCCTCCACCTTCCCCAGGCGAGGAGCAGGCATAGGTGGAAGGAGGACAGCACGATGACGACGAGGAGGAGGAACACGTACGAGGACGAGGAACATGGTGGTGATGAAGATGGCGATGACAACGATGATCAGATGATGGTGGTGGTGGTGATGTTGATGATGGTGATAATGGTAAGGCTGGTATGGTTGCTGCTGGTGGTGAAGATAAAAAAGGTGATACTGAGGAGAAGGAGGCAGGAGTAGGAGGACGATCATGTGTACGCCATGGGGAGTGGGGAGGGGGAGGATGGGGGAAGAGGATACCGAAGATGACGAAGAGGAATCTGGGGAGGAAGCAGATGAGGTGGAGGAGAGGAGGAAGAGGAGGATCAGAAAAGTCATGAGGAGGAGGAGGAGGGAACGAGGAGGAGGAAATATGTGCTTCAGGCGACGATGAGCATGCTGATGGTGGTGAGGACGACGATGCTGATGTTGATATCGATGATGATCACGATGACGATGGTTGCTTATGCTGATGATGGTGTTGATGATTGTGATGAGGATGCGAGTGGGAATGATGCTGACGACGTAGGCTGTATTGGTGGTGGTGATGTTGCTAACGACCGTGAGGATGACGATGAAGCGGAGGAGTGAAGGGTATGAGGACCAGGAGTGAGGATGAGGAGGACGGGTACAACAATGGAAAGCAGGAGAGGGTGGTGGTTGGTGGGGTGATGTGTGGCTGGGCGTGTACGTAGATGGTGTTGGTAGGAAGACTGTATGGTAGTATGCTGCTGGTGATGGTGATGATGGTACTGGTGATGAGGATGATGTTGACGACGACGATTGCTTTGATGCTGCTGGTGATGGTGATGCTGACGAGGCTGAGCACAATGACGTTGACGCTGTTGATGCAGTTGGTAACGGTGATGAGGGTGTTGTTGAGCGTGATGCTGCTGGCAAAGGTGGTGTTGGTGGCGATGATCATCATGTTGATGGCGGTGGGTGTGGTAGTGGTGGTGGTGATGATATTCATGTTGCTGCTGATGATGATGCTGCTGCTGATGATGATGAGATGGTGATGCTGCTGATGATGATGATGATGGTGGTGATGATGATGATGATGATGATGGTGGTGATGATGATGCTGACGATGATGATGATGGTGATGGTGATGGTGATGGTGATGATGATGATGATGATGATCTTGATGCTCATGATGATGATGATGACGACGACGACGACGACGACGATGATGATGATGATGATGATGATGATGATGATGATGATGATGGTGAGGATGATGAGGCTGAGCGTGATGATGTTGCTGCTGCGGATGCTGATGATGCTGCTGCTGCTGATGACGATGAGGCCGTTGTTGCTGTTGTTGCGGTTGTTGTTGTTGTCGGTGGTGGTGGTGGTATTCTTGGCGTTGTTGTGGATGTTGTTGTAGATGGTGCTGTTGCTGCCAATCATCCTGTGGTGTTGGGTCCTCGTTTTGAAGAAACGGTCCCCGCGCCTCCTCCTCCCGTGCACCCCCCCCCAATGGGGTGGCCACATGCGTCCGCCACACCCAGTACAGCGCATCGTGGCCCCATAGGGAGCTTCATGTAAGGCCCCAGTGGGGGTGGCCACCTGCGTCCGCCACACCCAGTACAGCGTTTCGTGGCCCCATAGGTAACTCCACCCAAGGTCCCAGTGGGGGTTGCCACAGGCGTCCGCCACACCCAGTACAGCGTTTCGTGGCCCCACATGGAGCTCCACGTAAGGCCCCAGTGGGGTTGGCCACATGGGCCTGCCACACCCAGTACAGCGCTTCGTGGCCCCATGGGGAGCTCCACGTAAGGCCCCAGTGGGGGTGGCCACATGCGTCCGCCACACCCAGTACCGCGTTTTGTGGCCCCATGGGGGGATCCACGTAAGGCCCCACTAGGGGGGGGCACATGCGTCCGCCACACCCAGTACAGCGTTTCGTGGCCCCAGGCAACCTGACCCCAAGAGGGACGAACAGGGGACCGACCACGACGACGACGACGACGTCGACGACGACGACGGCGACGACGGCGACGACGACGAGCGAAACCGAAAGCGAGATAGAGAACGACAGCAGGGCCACGAAGGGCACGAAGTAGGCCACGAAGGGCGTCAGCGGGGACGCGAAGGGAATGCGTATAGGACCACGAAGAGCACGAACGAGCGGGGGCCACGATGGGCAGATAATGCGGGGCCACAAAAGGCAACGACGGGGCCACTGAGGGTACCGACTGGGCCATGTAGGACAACGAGGGGGGCCACGAAGGGCGACAGCGGGGCCACGAAAGGCATGCACATGGGGCCACGACGGGCGCGAACGAGCGGGGGGCACGAATGGCATACGTTTATTGGGCAGCGGCAAAGACGGGGCCACTGAGGGCAGCAACGGGGCCACGAAGGACAACGATGTGGGCCACAAAGGGCGACAGCGGGGGGGGCACGAAGGGCATGCATATGGGGCCATGACGGGCGCGAAGGACAGCGAGGGGGCCACGAATGGCATACATATATTCGGCCACGAAGGGCAGCGAGGGGGCCACGACGGGCTGCAACGGGGTCACGAAGGGCAGAGAGGGGGCCACGAAGGGTTGCAACGGGGCCCCGAAGGGCTGCAACGGGGACACGAAAGGGTGCAACGGGGCCACGAAGTGCAGCGAGGGGGCCACGAAGGGGTGCAACGGGGCCACGAAGGGCAGCGAGGGGGCCACGAAGGGCTGCAACGGGGCCACGAAGGGCAGCGAGGGGGCCACGAAGGGGTGCAACGGGGCCACGCAGGACAGCGAGGGGGCCACGAAGGGCTATAACGGCGACACGAAGAGCAGCGAGGGGGCCACGAAAGGCTGCTATTGGGCCACGAAGGGCAGCGAGGGGGCCACGAAGGGGTGCAACGGGTCCACGAAGGGCAGCGAGGGAGCCACGAAGCGCTGCTACGGGGCCACGAAGGGCAGCGAGAGGGCCACGAAGGGCTGCCACGGATCCACGAAGGGCAGTGGGGGAGTCCTAAGCGTGAGCGCGACTCCTGGGTGCCTGAGTAAGTTGCAGGAAATTCAAACGCAAGGGCGCTATTCCTGAACTCCAGCGAGAGCGCGATTCCAGAGCGCCGGGAGAGCGATTCCTGAATAAATTGTAAGGAAGTCCCAAGCGACAGCGCGATTCATGAATAGCATGTGAGGAAGTGTCAGGCAGGAGCTGGGGTCCGGGCTAAATTGTAAGGAAATCTCCGGCGGGAGCCGTTGTTGTTGTAACCCGGGGGCCAGGGGCACAGTTTGAGCTTCAAGACTTTCCCTGATAGAAAACAGGGTGCGAGCCTTTGGGAAAAAAGGCATTTCAATCGAATAATAAAATGTGCACCGGAGGGGGGTATCAGCAATATGTATTCTTCGGTCGTGAAAGTCCAACAGCAACAACAACAGCAACGGCTCCCCCCTGATACTTCGCCGCAGTGTGTTGAGAAAGTTGACTTTCGCCCGAGATTTCCTGGCAATCTACTCCAGAATCGAGTTCCCGCTTGAAACGCCATCAATGTATTCAGATGCCGCCCCTCGACACTCAGGAATCGCGCTTTCGTTTTTGATTTCCTTTTCTAGAGTTTCGTGGGATTCGCGCTGTCGCTAAATATTCCTTGCGATTCAAGCAGGATCCATGCTTCAGCGACCCGCCTGCTCGACCCGCCCGTCGGGGCCCGCCCGCCCGACCCGCCCGCAAGGGACTGCAGTCGTTTCTCGCTGCCTTTCGCCCGCTCTCGATGCCCATCGCTGCCCGTAGTGGTTCCGCGGTCGCCTTCGCTCACGCCCTTCGTGGCCGCGTTGCTGCCCTCACTAGCCCTGTCGCTGCCCTCTGTGGCCCCGCATTGTATGCTCTTCGTGGCCCCCGCTCGTTCGCGCCCGTCGTGGCTCCATATGCATGCCCTTCGTGGCCCTACTGTCGCCCGTCGTGGCCCCCTCGCTGCCCTTCGTGGCTCCATTGCTGCATTTCGTGGCCCCGTTGTCGCCTTTTTTGTGGCCCCATATACGTATGCTCTTCGTGGCCCCCGCTCGCTTTTGCCCGTCGTGGCCCCATATGCATGCCCTTCGTGGCCCCGCTGTCGCCCTTTGCGGCCCCTTCGCTGCCCTTCGCGCTCCTGGTGCCACTCTCAGCGGCCCCGTCGCTGCCCTTTGTGGCCCCGCATTATCCGCCCTTCGTGGCCCCCGTTCGCTCCTTAGCGGCCCCATACGCATGCCCTTCGTGGCCCCGCTGTCGCCCTTCATGGTTCCTTCGTTGCCCTTCGTGGCCCCATCACTGCCGTGCGTGGCCCCGCTGTCGCCCTTTCTGGCCTACGTATGCCCTTCGTGGCTCACTCTCGTTCGCGCCTGTCGTGGCCCTATATGCATGCCCCACGTGGCCCCGCTGTCGCACCTTGCGGCCCCCATCGCTGCCCTTCGTGTCCCAGTTTCTACCCTCATTGGCCCCGTCCTTGCCATTTTGCGGCGCCATATACGTACGCCCTTCGTGGCCCCCGCTCGCGCCCGTCGTGGCCCCACATGCATGCCCTTCGTGGCCCCGCTGTCGCCCTTTGTGGCCCCCTCG